TCTATATCATATGACATTTGAATGTGGCGGCGATAACCCGTGACCCGCACTTAGGGGGGGCCGCCCTGGCTGCATCTTGGTAGAATTCAACTCATTATGATTCAATAGAAATTGATGTAAATTTCCATCTCGCACAAAATCGATGACAAGCATAAAATCTCTTATCTGTGGATCTTGAGTAACTCCAAAAAAATTGGTAACTCTAGAATTATGCCCATTATCACCTAAATCATTATACCAATCCTTTTGAAGGTTATTTTTCATCACCCCAACGTATTTAACATAAATTTCCAACTAATAAGACAGAAAATAGAATCAATCTTTATGTTAGAAGATGTGGTATAAGTAATAGTTATTTCACGTTTTATCATAGATATTATTAAATGTCACGGGTAGTCGAGATATTATGCAAAATTTTAATTTCAATGCAGATTTGGGATGTTTAATGATATCGATGATTAATACGTGTAATAACTAATTTATTAATGTATCCTATCTGAATAAACACTCTGTAAGCAATGATCTATTGCAATGAATGATAAATAAAATAGGTCAGTCGTGATAATTATTATTCAATAAAAATATAAAATCAGATGTAAAAAAAAAAAAAAAATTGAAAAAATAATTTTTGGTACTAATATTAGAGCTAAATACTTATTTGTTTTAAATATTATATTTTGCCATTATAACATGAAGGTCTGTTTCATCGGTGCCATTTCCATAGTAAAAGATTTTATGCTAAACATATGATTTCGACATGTTCTGCAATGACTAACCTACGGTATCTTAATAAATGGTTCTCTTAACGTGGATTCATAAGAAAAAATATACCGTATAGACTCGAAATAACGCAGTGGGCGTTATTTTGAAAATCAGAACCTTCAAAAATAGCATATGTAGTTTCAAATTAACAGTCCGAATTAACGCACATTCCTTTATAAGAAAATAAAAATAAAAAGTGTTCTGGAACTGGATTTGATACTAAGTAAATATGCATTCACACTCTAACAAAAGTTGTTCTTCAGATTGAGTCAATTATAATGGTGCTAAAAGCAAGTTTATTTATTACAAACCCAGTTCATGAGCACCTTTTATTTCTTATTATTATTGCTCGATCAGATGACTTTATTTAAACGAGGAAGAAACATATGGGAATCCGTCCGCTATCATTTACAGGTTTTACAGGCTCTATATCAAATATGCTTAAACTTAATGACTAT